TCATTGCGCCATGAGTTTTACTTTAATATAAATTAACCTCACCATCATATAAAGGAAATTTTATGGATATCAAAAATACGAGTTACCAATTACATATAATAATGAACGATAGAGATTAACATCCGCGTTTACTTTTAAGTAATATTGCTATCCATTAATGTTAAGGAAAATTCTTACGGTAAAAAAAAAAAAAAAAAAAAAAGGAATGATGAGACTTTGGCATATGATGTTTTAGTGATTTATAGCACAAGTAATAATAGAAAATAAACATTACCAAAAAAAAAAAGTAATAGAAAATAAACCATGTTTAGCCACAAAGTATTAAAAGGCGGCCCCAGATTAATCTAATTCAAGTCTTACTGTGATGGTCATTGGTCAACAATCTCTACCTTTTATTCTCATTTCAATGTTCCTTCTTCTACTTGTACTCCTTTATATATATTATTCACCTTTGTCTTTCATTTTTCAGTCCCTCTCAAAAACCAAACTCTCCCAACACAACAAGCAAAGCAAACTACAGATTGGATCATATCAATGGAGGTGCTGATACCAAGTAGAGCAGACATGGATTTCGACTTTAACAGCGCTCGATCCTCGCCGTCCGTGACTGCACCTTCGACACCACGGCGGTTTGGGGACTTCTACATGAGTGCACCAACAAGCCCAACTCGGATGTCCGAGTTTTATAGGGATTTTGAGGAGTTTTCCAACACGAGTAACTGGAAAGATGACGAGACAGCATCTCAAGCAGCCACCCCAAGATCACCGAAATCACATAAACGTGAGGAGGACTTTGGATTCGATGACTTTGCTTTTGATGTTGGTGAAGAGGTACAAAGAACTTCCCTCTCAGCTGAAGAGCTTTTCGATGGCGGCATCATAAGACCCTTTAATAAGCCTCCACCTACTCCATCCATTTTCCGTAAGGTTCTTTCGCCTAGACGGAAAAAGGGTAAAGAATATCCATTTGGGTTATCGTCCCCGACCCAAATGGACAACAACACAAGAAGAAGCGAGAGAAGAAGCGATCAACAACAACAAAGAGGTAGAGAGAGAGCTCCAGCAGCCTTGTCATCCTCCATTTCAGGCAGAAGAGCGACGAGATCGGTGTCACCTTTGAGGGTTTCGGAGTACCAATGGGTAGAAGAAGAAAAACAAAATCAACAGAAGCAACAGCAGCCACAACAAAACAACAAGCAGTTAGCTCCTACAGCTATGTTTACATCCTGCATAGTTTCTAAGGCTTCAAGAAAATGGAAACTGAAGGACTTTTTGTTGTTTCGAAGCGCATCGGGAAGAGCCACAGATAAAGATCCGTTCAGGAAGTACTCAACTTTGTTCAGAAAAAATGAAGACATGAAGAACTCCAGCTTCAGGTCAATAGACAGCCCGGCCTCGGTTTCGAGCTCAAGGAGAAAAGGGCCGCCAGTTTCAGCTCACGAGTTGCATTACACTGTGAACAAAGCAGCGTCTAATGATATGAAGAAGAAAACCTTCTTGCCTTACAAGCAGGGCCTTTTGGGTAGATTGGCCTTCAATCCCGCCGTCAGTGCCCTTGCCAACGGCTTTGGGTCTCTTTCAAGAAAATGAATATCCCCAATTGCCCAATTGATGATTGATTTATTCTTAAGAAAATTTCATGTTTTTTTTTTCTCTCTTTTTTGTTGTAATTAAATTTGTTATTTTTGTTAATTACCAATGTAGAATTCATACATGAGAGGAGTGTAATTGGTGGTGTGCAGTGAAAAATCAAGAAATGATTGCCCCATTACTTCGTATATATACAATTCTTAATTTCTTTGTTTTATCTCAAAGTTAGTAGTTTGGAAAAATATTTACATGCTGGAAGAAGCATAGATTATCTAATCCCATAATTGTCCGCTGTTTTTAGCTTCCCTCTCAAAGCCTATTTAGAGAGTATGAGATTTTTGCCATCCTCTAACTGGTATTTATTAATTTGCACCATAACTTTTGTTTGTGTTTGACAAAAAAAAAACTTTTGTTCGTTATTACGATAAATCAGCCTTACTCCATATTCGAAGATTATCAAATTCAAACCGTATTTGGATTACTGGATTAGAAGTCTTGTTAATTATATCGGATTCGATCCGAATTCAGATCAAAATTCAATCTTATTGTATCTAACTTCAAAAGTAGGATTAATTGTTCTTAACCACTTTAACTACAAAACCCCTGGCACTTTAAGGAAATCGAATATGAACACTTTACCTTATAAGAAAGTATGATTTCAGAAAACCTAAGGGAAGCAACAAGCTAAGAGTTCATAAGCAGGCTGCACCTGACTTCAGTGAGAATTTACAATTCCATTTTAGAGAAGAACTAACATCTTTATTGTGCACACTTGATGACTCCCTGCAATAATTCCAAGACCCTACACCCAATCCATTTGACCAAAAAAAAACAAAGAAGGAAAAATATCAGAATACTGACCACAAGAATATTTGGTGATGCCATAAAAGAAAAGGACATTGTATCAGACATACAACACGGTTTGACATAGACCCATCCAAACTCAGTTTTGTCAGATAGACCTCATATTTGATTATCCTAATTCAGCCATCTAGAAGTCAATACGTCATATGTTCTTGTTTTTTAAGGAAGTGATTAAAAAGAGTTCGATAAAAAATTATATGATTTTAGACGTCATTTTAATTGTTAAATCTTAAGTTTGGTATTTTTTGACTAAAAATTTGACACTTAAAAAAAATTCAAGTATCAGAATCCCCGTAGAACAATAAAAAAATCTCATAGTGCAACATATAGACCCCTAAATAACTTTAAAATCCTTAAAAACTTGTATCAAACTAATCTCTATAACCAATGAGACAACTCATTAAAATAACCCAACTATTCATACATGATCATTTGCAAACTTACCACTTGAAATTGTTAGAGAAAGTTTGGACTCTGTCCTTAATTGTTAAAAAGAAAGTTAACAAATATCTATAGGTAATTTAGAAGTTTCTTAAGGCCTTCACAATAATATTCTATGACCTTGTAAATGCTTGCAGTGGATCTATGTTTGTAAACATGGATGCAACTGCTAGAATCATTGTTTACTCCAGATAGATAGAGACGAACTACTAGACAAGTCCATTATCCTTGTCCGACATGATTTTAAAATTGTAGAATATAACGGGCGGTAGGCAAAAGGTACAGTCAACTTCTAGACGTTAGAAATGTGAATTGCAGTATTAAGGTGGGATGTCGAAGCTTAAACAAATCATATAAGTTTTCGCTCTACGGTTTTGGAACCGTATATGCATATGATATATTAGTCTCCAAATGACAATTTCCCTAATCTAAAGTAAAAAACCTTGATTGGATCCGCCAAGCTCCAAGTAAGGTTTTCGACAATGTAATACAGACAACATAAATGATAAATACTTCACGCAACATGAAAAACTGTAATCCATAAATGCTCCAAATAGATTAAAATTCATTTAAATTTGTCATCAGTAAAAGATCCACAAGTTTTTTTAAATCTAGCAAATTTTTCTCATCCAGATTGCATGGAAACCAAATAACGAAACAAAATCTGCAGACATATTACCTCATACATATTACAAAAGGGCCCATAGGCACCTCTTTTAATAAATGCTTAATCCAAGTTATCAATTCTGGTTGGGGTAATCTCTTCTGCAACCTTGAAGCGTCCGACTAAACGTGAAAAGACGATCATTTGTTGTTCCAGCGTGAACTTAGTGCTCTCAGCCTCAGCCTGCATATAATATCAGATCAATAGCATTACATATATATCATATAAATTTTGTGAGTACAGAACATAGAAATTACCTTACGGAAACCGTGTTGTTCTCCTTCATACTCCACAAGAGCAAAGCATGGTAAATGTTACGAGCTTGTGCTGGGGGTACAGACTGCAAAATAAAATTGTATTTTCCAAACTCAATTTTTATTATTTTATCTCATCTCTGTCAAAATTTTCATCCCCAGTAATTACATGGTGAAAGTAGGACGAAAAGTGTTGAGAATGAGTCTCATATTGATGGAAGTAGAGACTTTGCATTGGCTTATAAGAGGTTGGGCTACTCCTCATATTACCAATTGGTTTTATGGTGGAACCTCAACTTCCTTCTTGGTATCAGAGCAAGTTGTCTCACGTGTGAAGCCAAACTGCCATACGGGCTCCACGTCACCCCGTTGTGTGGTGGAACCTCAACTTCCTTCAAAAAGCATATGACGAGGAATAGAAAATGGCACAATATATATTACCTTGGCTTGATGGGTGTTGTACCAAATTCACCACTACCGTTTAGCAAGGGGGAGGATGAAACGATAGATGGTTGGATAGATATAGATACAGAGCATGGGGGCGTGACTCGAGCCAGAAGAGGTGGCCGAAAGAATCAACAGCAGTGCTACCGAGTAGCTTGGAGGCGCCGGAGACAACTCGGCGGTGATGGGGGGTTTCCAGGACCCATAAGGAGCTCTGATTTTCTCCATTTTCATAGATTCGAAGGAATAAGTGGTCATAGTCTTGAAGCTATGCGTTTTAGTTGGGTTAGGACTCCTGAGTGGTTTACGACTGATACGTTGAAGTTGAGAATTCAAGTGAAACCGACATGCAGAGATGAACGCTTGCAGATGAGGAAGAGGACTGAGGAAGAAGGCCATTTGACTCGTACCAGCTCACTCCTTTTCTGACAGTCGCCACCTCTATCACCGCTACGTTGTTCCATCTTTTTTTGGTTTTGTACATGAAGTATAGTAAACGAGTCTAATTGATGTTGCAACGTAACATAGCATTGCGTTATTGAACCAAAACACTATTGACATGTCCTAATTTACGGTAGAATATGAACTTGATGCAAGGAACCGGTCGCATTTTAACCAACAGACACTTTGTCCCATGTCCAGGAAACTTGGCCCAAGTAAAAAATCATTTTATGGTCTTTGTACATCAAGAGTTTTATTTATGCTCATACGATCTTATATGCACAATAACTCAAATCATTGGATCCCGGATCAAAAATTTAGCGAATAGAAACTTCTATGTATAAAATATCGAAGAACATAAGTGTGTCCTTTCAAGATACGTCTATCGAGAGAAAAATAAACACACAAAGATATACAACCGAGGATACATGAGTATATCAACACAAAGTTCACATAGGGTTTAAGAAAACCAAAGAAGATGTAGCCATTCCCATTTGCGTCAGTATTTCAAGCTCCGTCTCAAAGTTGTTATTTATCCACGTTCTTAGTAAAACTAGATAATTGTTTTCCACTCCTCAGATGGCACAGAAGTCTCTTCAGAAAAAGCAAACCTGTAAACCAATTCCTTCGCATGAAAACACAAGACTCAAAAAATTCCACCTTGAGGCGCCACTTTCGGGTTGAATTCTAGTCGAAGTTGTCAATTTTAATAGGATTAATCTCATCCGCAACCTTGAAGTTTCCAACTAAACGAGCAAAGAAAACCATTTGCTGTTCAAGCGTGAACTTAATGTTCTCAGCCTGCGTACAAGTGGTACAAGATCAATTTACTCTTTCGAATCATTTGAATTTGTTAATACAACATACAATAGAAAACGGAATAGAAAATACCTTGCGGAAGCCATGTTGTTCTCCTTCATACTCCACATGAGCAACAGGCAGACCCTTTTCCTTCAAAGCCTGATAAATTTTACGAGCTTGATCTGGGGCTACAACCTACAAAATAAATCGTAGTTCATAAAACTAAACTTTAAGATAATAACTAAAACCCAAACATACCACATGTTATCGATAAATTCCTCGGTTCCTTTCTCATCAACAAATTCTTGCTTTATTATATCGTGACTGGTAAAAAAAAAAAAAAAGGCAACATCTGCTTACCTTGTCTTCCAACCCTTGGAATAAGATTATCGGGCAAGAAAACTTATCAGCAAAGTTGATGGGTGACCTATCATGATAATCCTTTTCACTACCTGCAACCGGTTAAAATTGGCTCATTTTCAAACAATATCAATAAAAACAAGAAGAGCAGCGTAAAGCACCAAATGTCATCTTCTGACTTACCAACAAGATTATCAATATAATGAGACTCAAATTTGTGAGTTTCTGCCCTCAACATGTTTAAGTCGGCTACCTGTTCAGGGATCAATACAAAAGAAGAAGATATTCAGTTAACTAGTTCTTATAGAATCTGTGCAGTATAAAAAGAGATTTTGGTAGTAACAGAGGAAGCAGAGAGAAAAAATCGGAAAAGAAAGAGAGAAAACAAGCAAAAGCCAAATCTGAAATAATCTAAAACAACAAAGCTTACATAATGCAATAATATAATCCCTCCCTCAGTTCTCTAGTTAATAGATAACAAGAGATTAGTTGAGAGAGGCGAGAAATTAATAATAAATCGAATATAAAGTTAGGTACTCACACCATACAAGGAAGATCCTGCCTTGAAGGTATCTCTAAAAGCAAGAGCAGCTAGGGTTGTATAGCCACCTGCAGATCCCCCAGTAATACAAAGTCGTTCCCCATCTACCTTTCCGGAATCCACCTAAATAACAAAGTATATATTACCAAGCTTGATATGTGATCCATCAAAATCAACATCACCATTTACAAGAGGGGAGATAAATGGATACCAGATATCTAGCACAGCTGCAACAATCATTTACATCCACAATTCCCCATTTGTTCAAGAGTCGTTCCCGATATTCTCTGCCATAACCTGAAATGCAATGTCTTAGATATAGTAGAATGTAATTTAAAATTCAATTCATTTTACGGCCAAACTAACACCATTGATAGCCACATATGACATATGTGACATAGAAAGAAAACAAAATAGAGTAATAGAGTTTGAAAGATTGAGTGTAATCAGAGATAACAAAAACTCAGGATGAACTGCAAAAATTCCCCCCAAAGTGAAATAAGAAAAACATAAGGTTAAGAACAAACCAGTGCTTCCACCATAGTTAACATCGACAAATGCCCAACCACGACTAGTCCAATACTGAATACTCAAATTTAAGATTCCATGTGATTCGGCTGTGGGCCCTCCTGTTGTAAATCAAAGAAATACAGTGATGTAACAAATTCTATTGACAAGAAGCTCAACTAGACATTCAAGAGAATGGATATATTTTGACTACAAAGGGCACCTAAGTAAAAGGCCTTACAAAAGCTTAATTGTAAATTTACTACTTATTAGTGTAGCAAAATTATTGATAACATGATATCCTCAGCAATAAATCACCCTTTCAGAGAGCACATAGCTATATTTGCAGAAGAAAGCCCAAATGCAGGAAACTTAGGAAATATGTCTTGTCATCCACCCAGTGCACAAGGCTCCCGCTTTACACAGGGTCTGGGAGAGGTGAATGTCGGCTAGCCTTACCTTAGGAAATATAACTATGAAAATTTTAAACCACACATACCGTGGCTTTTCAATAACAGTGGAGGCTTTTCACCCTGAGGAGCTTGGTAATTGGGATTTGTTGGTGGGTAAAAGTATGCGAAGGCAGTTTGACCAGGAACTTCTGTTGGGAACTCAATTAATTCGGGTAGGCTGAAGTAGGACTGATATTTTAAGCAATCAGGTGAGGAAGACCAAATAATCTTGGAGTCAACTGCTTTCGTTCTATGATCATCTAAAGTCACCTGCAAGGGAGAATGAAATTATTTGAAGACAAAAACACAGGTGGTTCAATTTCCAAAACAATGGCCTTTGCCTGACAAGAGAAAAAGGTAATTTAGGACGGGACATAAAAGATGGCAAACACCTTAGCAACAGCCAAAGGTTGAACTTCTGATGCTCCTTCAATGTACAGGCAATTGATCCCCAAGGTCTGCATAGATAAATATGAAAATTTAACAAAGAAAAAACTATAATCAGGTCGAATACTTAACAACTTCAGCACTGAAACTTAGGGAAAACAAGGTTTCTAGGCATACAATATTATCAATATCTGTAAAAGGAGTATTAAGTAGAGACAGTGAGCCCTGAGCATCATCCAGGATTCCAAGATATGACCTCCCCTTCTGCCTGCAAGCAAGCATCCATTACTTAAGCAAGACTAAACCGCATTGATGCAATCATTGCAAATTACAAGTCAAAATAAGATAGACTCAAAACAATCAAAAATAATTCTTACCTGTAGCTGCAAGCAATTATGTTTTTACTTTCATGGCTCTCGATAAATTCATAAGAATTCATGCCAAAAACCCATAATGGCTTGGAAAACTCGGCATCCAAGGAATAAACTGATACGACCTCATTACTAGACTCAACCTGTGGATACAGAAAAAGTGAATATATCATATTGAAGCCAATCAATACCAACTGCCAAACAATTGTTGTCTGACTAGACAGCAGGTCCAGCAAAAATTAAATTGAGCACTCTTCTTTGACACCAAATACTGTTATCCAATTAAACAGAAATTAAAAATTCATCGTCCAATTAAACAAGATGTAACTTAACCATGTTAGATGGAGTTTACTGTTCTTATCATTTGCAATAAATAAGCAAGACAGAAATGCTGAAGTACAGAACTCACCCATTTATAAAGATTCCAGTACCCACCTTTTCTGTCAGTAATAAAAAATAGTTCCCCTGTAATTCAAGTATAACCAATTAAAACATGCAATGGCATCAAGCTAACCAATTAAAACATGCAATGGCATCCAGCATCTGAAAGTTCAACAGTTTTTGGCCAACATTAATAAAAATATTTGAACGTGTAATACATAATTATCACTATGCAGAATAAACAAGAGCAAAAGAAATAGCTAGATTCTAAGAGAGTAGATGGCTTTAAGTGTTCCATTGTGCATATAAAAGCCAAGAACTAGCCAAGAAAATCTGATCCTTAGTTGATACTGTATAATCATTCAATATTGTTTATCCCACCAGTACTTTCCAAAGATAAAAGAAATTTCCCTATTTGCAAAGGATGCACATTTAGCGTTTCCTTGATAGCGATCATAGCGGAATCCTGAAGTCAACCTAGTTCAGTCTATTATATCTTATTGTTAGCATGACAATTTGATAAGACTGCGGATACCAAAATTCTGCTGTTTAATAATTCAAAGATTGACCATTTGTTTAGTAAAAGCTACTTAAATTTGTTACTCAAGCAAGTAAAAAAAGGTACCTTTAGAGGACCACTTGGGTTCAATTGGGGACTCCTTAATGGAAGGATCAGAGCCAGCAACACAAATTCGTTTATAGACTTCTCTGCGAGAAAGAAGCATATAACACTTGGTTTGGTAATAATTCCATATTGACTATATGTATTATGGTAGTACTGCATAAATAAAACTGACTTCAATATGCATGGAGTGTGTACTGACATATCAAACTTCCAATGGTTATTAGTTTCTTCAGCGTTGACCTAATTTATCTTGGAAAGATTACTTTTGGAAAGGAAATGATAAGAAGGGCAATGGCATCCTGAAAAGAGATTTTCTTACCCCTTCTCGGATATATACCCAACCCAAAGTTGAGACCTATCCCATGGCATATTAGGATGGCACCATTCAATCCATGCCAGACGTTCACCTTTCGGATCAAAACGCGGGAAGGCATAGAAATCCGTCCCACCAACTAGTACTTCTGGTTCTGTATGTCAAATGGTGTCCACAATAGTCAAATATTGTCAAATATACCGCAATGTTTTTCGCAGTTAACATAAACTATGGCACTGTAAACTGAAGCAAGACATGGGTTTTTGATAAACCCTTACCCTGAATTTCCTTGCCATCAAGCCCTACTGTTACAATTGTTGTTATCGAATTAATGCTGCTTTCACGACGATCTACACAAAAATGAGAAAATTGATACACAATTCCTCATAAGTTAAAAACTGAAAAGAAAATGTATATACAAATAGAATGCACTACATTCACATACCTTCCCGTACAGTGACAAAACGATTAAAACGTGCATCAAACACGCCATCAGCATAACTAATTACCGGCCCGCCATAATCCGGAGTGAGTGGTGTAGGAGCAGAATCTAATTGGCACCCATAAGAACACAACACCCATAAGACCACAACACCAATATTAATACAAGTTATCATCTTTTCAAATTAAACAATTATTACCAACTTTTCTCGAGAATTAGAGTCACAAGCATATAAAAGCTACGAGATTGATAACATCACATACCTTTCGAACTTAGGGACTGCTTGTAAAGACGCTGATCCTTGTAATTACAGAAAACGATTGTATCCCCTGAAACGCTGAATGCACCGCCGCCGTACTCCTGCGCCACCGTCCGAACCGCATAGTCCTTCGGCGTAATATCAACCGGTTCGTCCTCCGGCCTCTCCGGTTCCCTCACCAGAACCGCCCGTCTATACATCCACCAAATAATTCCTCATTAAATACATACATTCACGAAGAATCGAAAAAATACAAGATATACATATATATAGACACAGAGAGAGAGAGATGGATACCCTGATTCAGATGGGCGGGACTCGAGCCAGATGAGGCGGCCGAGGGAATCGACGGCCGTGCCGCCGAGTCTCTTGGAGGCGCCAGAGACGACATCGGCGGAGATTGGGGATTTCCAGGACCCGTAAGGAGCTACGATTTTCTCCGATTGCTTGACTTCGGGGGAGGAAGAAGTAGCCATTTGGTGGAGACGGTGGCTGTTCGTCTGTACTCTGGAGCTCAATCGTTGACTAATTCGATTGAAGGAAGACGAAGATAAGCGAGTGAGAGTGAGAGTGAGAGTGAGAGTGAAAGCAGCCATTTCTGACTCTCCGTTTTTAGAGCAATTACATCACTAAAAAAATGCCAGATAGGCATGGGCACAGTAATATGCCAAATACATCTTTACTAAATTGTCTTATCAATTTTATTAAAATATTATTATTTTTTATTATAAAATAATAATTTAGTTTTTAATTTCTAGCATTATCCCTTCTTTGTCTTCCCACTTTTCACTCTCCCACGGCAACTCTCTGCATTTTGCTCTGTACGCCCACCAAACTACTCACCACACCAACGCTCCCCCAAAAATGGACCTCCTCCTCCTCATGGAAAAGACCCTTCTGGGTCTCTTCGTCGCCATCGCCATTTCAAAACTCTATGATCGTCACCTCATCATTGGTCGTCGTCGTGATCGTCGCCTCACTGACCTCGTCAAGAAATTCGGCGAATGATTCCTCCTTCGCATGGGGCAACTCAACCTCGTCGTCGGTCTCTTTGTCAGAGCTCGCCAAGGAGGTGCTCCACACCCAGGGAGTCGAATTCAGGTCGAGGGAGGCGTGGCGGTATCGCCTGGCGTCATGTAGGCCAGGCAATAGATCATCACATTCTGAGCCGGCCTAGAGACCAGCTTGGGCTGGGTGCTAACCTATATGCTCGATTGGAGTGGATTAGCTGGGTGCCAGCCTAAAGGTTCCTCGGTGGAACTGCTCTTATATTTTAAAAATATAAAACCGTTTTTCTAACATTTACAGAAAATTAAATAAATAAATAACTGTTGGGAGCGTTTTGGAATGGGCGGGAATACGCGGGCCTTCCAAACGCTAGAGGCCGACTGGGTCGCTGGGTGTTGAGTGATTCTGAGGCTTTATATGGGCCGTGAGATGGTTCAAGTTTTTATGGCCTCATATATTGTTAGCCTTTAAGCCCAATCTAGACTTTCTAAGTTTCTACTTTCCATACACATTATCCTTTTTTCATTTCGAATATGAGAGTGAGGATTCGAATTTCTGGACCCAACGAACGTAGTAATGTGGCGGTGAGCGAAATGAGAGCAGTGTAAATCGTGCAAACGGGATTGCGGAATAATATTATTAAAGAAACAAATCGTTATGATGTTAGCATCTAACTGAAAACTAATTGGTACGCGAAGATATTCAATATCGTTTTAAACAAGTGGTGTTATTCACACACTCCTTTTAATTTTTTGCACGTAGGATTGAATAAATTGAAGAAGATCAACAGACAGAAATTAACAAGAGTGCGTGAAAAATAAAATTAGATGTGTGGATAACACAACCCTTAAACAATAATGCAAGGATTTCGCCCTTCTGCCAAACAACTGAACAACGCATATTTTGGAGAAGCAAGAGCAGGTATAGTCGTTTAGACGCAAATAGATAACATGCCTGATGTCATGTTAGAATGTAAGTATCCAAATAAAAACTAATTAAAAACAAGTGAAAAGAGTTAAATCTTTATATACACAAATTCAATCCTTTTCTAGTAAACAAGCGCAAGTTAACAACTTGTAGATCAATCATTGCAATTGAGTGATGAGAGAGATTTTCACTTCTTTGTTTGGCCATGGACTGTCCAATCTCTAGCTAACTTCCACATTCAAGAAAGCTTTTCTTATAAGTGCTTTTATTGATATCATGTCACTTGAAAAACCAAAAGAGTTGACGATCCCATCCAAAGCGCAATAATAATTCTAAAGGTGGAGGAGTTTTCAAACAATCTTCTAATTACTCTTTTTTAAATTTGCTTTACGTGCCAAAAACATCATATTGAATTATCAATCCTTCAAGATTCAGTTATCAAATCAAATTTGTATACATAATTATATTTTCATCTAGACGTTAACCATGAATTACGTGTGAATGCATTGTTAGTCTGGTTTCAACAAAACTATCATTTTTTAGAATGAAAATTGTAACTTACCTTAAATGTGTCACGTTTCATCAATTTTTTTATTTTGTAAAATTTGAGCTCATCTTTGACAAGTGTTGATTCTTTAAGGATGAAAAATAACCCTACAAGCTTGGATTCCAAGTTTCACTCTCGAGCTTAACTAAAAACTCTAGAGTTCAACTTGAAATCTAAGTAAGAAATTAACGCACCAAGAACGACAAAAGTACACTGTAGCCGTTTAGGATGGCCGAGTAACTGGTGTCGGTATCGAAATGAAAAACCGAACATTAACGTCCCCATCTCAAATCAATCCAATCTTATATTATTGGTTTTTTTCACTATTGTAAGTGGTCAGATCATGGTTTAGTTGCAACTTTATGTTGCATCAGTGAAGACTAAAACTCCTTTGGTAAATACATATGCATATGCATATGGAACCCACCTCTGCTGCAGGTAACTTGGTCTTGCATTGTTCCAAACTCCAAATTATAAAGTGACCAGAGCTTTTCTATCCAACATATGCTTGTGGTACATGATCGCTCAGTCAGTGGGTCATTTCCCAAAAGCCGAATGGACATGGTCATGGAGTTAAATCCCTTTTTTTAATTAGTTATATGAGCACTCAACTTTCTTGTCCTTGGACTTGTATTATTGCATTGGCAAAGATCTCCCATACCTAAGTTCCTCACTAGGTTTCACAGCTTTAACTAATGCTCCCAATAAACCAAACTATCGAGCAGATGTGTTGTTAGGGGATTGGCTCATGCACTTTTGGTTGTGAAATCTCTATTTCAAGGGCAAATATGATTCATACGCGGTTGTGTACAATCACGTGATTAAATGTTTGATAAATGAAAAACAAAAACGTGATTGTACATAACAAGTAACGTCACGTCTCACATATTTCACTTCTCATTAAAAAAGACTAAGCATCGTTCCATCTCTCTACTCCATTTCTAGTTATGGTTAATACTTGTTGCAAAGCAAGATTAAAGTTGCAAGTGTAAAACGAACACAACCACGTTTAGTTGTACTAAACAAAAAAAAAGAGGCTATAAACTTTATTGAGATTGTGGGCACCATTAAAAGATGCTGTTTTGGTTAACATTGTCAAGGATCATGGTTTGGTGATACCGACAATACTGCCCCTAAATACTAGATCATGGGAAAGGAGCCCCAGCATGGACACTAGTTATCTCATGTTTGGACCCTCTTCTTAAACATGTGGAAGAACTTCAAATAAACGATTTTGTTACTTACTAAAAGTTAGGGTTTCTAACTTTGCGTCAAACCTAAGATGTCACGATGACAGTATTTTAAGTCAATCACATTTTACGTGGCAACTCTGTACGTGATTGGATTCAAATACTAGCACCAAGACATTTTGGGAGCATGAAAGTTTTGCTCGTAATTGTGCCACGGATGCCTAGTTGAACACAAACCAGAAACTAGAAAAACACTTGGTATATATAGAATCCAATTATTTGCAGCACTTGCCTAACATGGCGTTTGTGATAAGACCATCTCTGACATATAAGAGGAAATAACTATAAAAGGGAACAGAGAAAGGGATAGTCACTAAACAATGGAAAGAAAGCAAAGTTTAATTCCAATATGGATAAACAGGAGAAAAATATTATGAGGGGAAAGATGAGCTGCACCTCAATAATTATTGAGGCATTTAGGATGGGGTTTGGAAAAGCATAAAGCTAGTGACATTGATGCCTTATTTGATGACCAGAGAGTCACATGCATAACCAACATTTCCACGTTCCTTTTTACACGTCATTTCGAGTTTCTTTTCGTAATATACTTGATCACTTACATGTAAAGAATCAATTTTCACAAACGAATGATCTGCTAGTAGAGATAAGTATGTCATTACACACACTGAGTGATCTGCAAATAGAGAATGAGCCATTACTTGCAAAGAGTGATTTACAAATAAAGAAGAATGACTCCTTACATACAATAAGTAGTTTTGTAAGCAGATAATTTAACTTGTTACGAACAATGAATGGTCTACAAATAAAGAGAAATGACTTGTTACATGTAATGAGACTATTTTTTCTTCCTGTGTGGTCCGACCTCTCTTATCGCATTCAACACCCCTCCACTTTTCATCACTAAACTTTGTCACATCATACTTTACTCTTTAGTCCCATTAAGTTCCCTTTCTCCCTTAACCAACTTGAGAAGAAATTTGAAGGGTCTCCATTCCCTTTCCCACTTCAAAGATTTCAATCACACAAACAAACCTCGAAACGACGTCGTTCAACTGAAAGCATCCAAACACAGAGTCCCGAGTGACCAACCAAACTAAACTTTGAAGCCCTATTCTCCAACCTTCCACTCTCTCTATATATATCTCCAATTAGCGTACAATTTCAGACACTCATATCTAACTTACCTTGTATTTTCTAAATTGATTTCTGAACCTCATAACCTAGCTACAATGCCTTCTGTGCACTCTAGCCCCTTCCACCACATAGAGAACTCAGCCATATTTAACCTAATCCGGCACGCTCACACGCCAGGCCAAAAACGTTCAACAAAATCTTCATCCGGAGGCCTTCTCAAGATGTTCAAGCTCTTTCCCATGTTAACATCAGGCTGCAAAATGGTTGCCTTGCTAGGCAGGCCCCGGAAGCCGTTACTGAAGGATCATGCCACAACTGGTACAATTTTCGGCTATCGAAAGGGGAGGGTAAGCCTAGCTATACAAGAAGACCCTCATTGCATGCCACTCTTTGTGATAGAGCTGCCAATGCACAGTAGTGTGTTTCACAAGGAAATGGCGTCGGATATAGTCCGAATCGCGCTGGAGAGCGAGACGAAGACGCACAAGAAGAAGCTGATGGAGGAGTATGTGTGGGCTGTATACTGCAATGGAAGAAAGGTAGGGTATTCTATTAGGAGGAAGCAAATGTCGGAGGATGAGCTTCATGTTATGCAAACTTTGAGGGGTGTTTCGATGGGGGCAGGGGTTCTTCCATGCCCTTCTGATCAGAAGGAGTATGCAGGAGATGGGGAGTTGACTTACATTAGGGCAAGGTTTGAGAGGGTGGTTGGATCAAAGGACTCTGAAGCTTTGTACATGATTAATCCAGATGGTGCTGCAGGACCAGAATTAAGTATTTTCTTTGTAAGAGCTCATTAGCTTAATTAGCAAAAAATTATGTACTCTTTTGATTAATTAATCTAGGTTATATATAATATAACTTTGTGTCTATGTAAACTAATTAAAGTTCTCAAATGCATGTATTGATTGTTTTGAACTTCAATGATTGGAGTAGTTGAGTTCCAAAAAGTTTTATTTCTCTCTAACAAAGTAAATTCTAAAACTTCTCTCTAATTGACGGAAAAGGTATTCGAACTCGAGTGCAATGTGACATTATCTGTCCAATTAGCAATGGTCTATTTAGCATGGAGGAAATCTTCATGTGGACTATAATTGACTTATACAATAAATAAATAATAATTAAACTTTTTGGGTTAGCCTAAGTTTTAACGACCGGATAAGGTATAGAAAGAAAATTACAATTAGGCCAACAAATTGATTTATCACGCAAATCACAGCAGAAGAAATTAAAAAATGTCTCAAATCTCATCAATTGCCTTCAAGGTATTTTCTTGATCATTCCATGATGATACATAGGAAAGAATAACGGGCTGGAAAGTGTTTGGACCACATTCTTTTATCAGTGAAATTAATGTTTTCTGTCCCAACCCCCTTTCCAATATAAAATTAAAGTAAATGAGAAGGAAAAGAAATTGAAATTTGCCTCTGATATGTATAATTCAGAAAATTCTCCTCCGCCATGACCCGAATAGCGACACGGATGACAATGCCATTGAATATCAATGATATGGTACCAACGTTGATATTCAGTAGATGTTACATCGATATTAGGTAGATATTGTTGATATAGTGTTGATATTTTGATATCAATACATCAATATAATGTTGTCAAGATGACGTTGATATTTGGTTACTATATCTCATCTATGTCGCTCAGGTCATGTGCCATCTATGCACACAACCCCCTTTCCAAAATAAATTTATAGAAAACAAGCAGGAAAAGAAATTAAAATGTGCCTCTGGTATGTATAATTCAAAAGATTTTCCTTTGGCATGACTCGAATAGCGATACAGATGACAATAGTGCAATTGAATATCAATGATATGGCAACAACGTTGATATTCAGCAAATGTTACATCGATATTAGGTAGATATTGTGGGTATAGTGTCGATATTTTGTATCAGTACATCAATATAACGTTGTCAAGATGATGTTGATAATTGGTTACTATATCTCGTCTATGTCACTTAGTCAGGTCATGTGCAATTCATGCGCACAATCCACAAGTGCAAGGAAGAAAACCTAAGGGGCGTGTATTCAATTGGGATTTTGAGTGATTTTAATTCTTTAATGAATCTAGGGGCATTCAATCAGGATTTTAAGTGGTTCTCTGAAATTCAATGTGTATTCAATTAGGATTTTAAGATAGCTTATCAACATTGTTAGAAATCTAGGGGTATTCAATTAAGATTTTAAAGAAGTTTATAACATTTCAGGTATATTCAATTAAAATTTAATTTTAAAGAAATTGAAAAAGTGAGGAATTTGAGAGAATTTGAGAGATTTCGTAATGTATTTTAAACATTCACAAATCTCACCTCTCCTCATGAGATTTCGAGGGAATTGAATCAAAATTTTACATGGAATCTCTACAAATCAATTAAACTTCTTAAAAATCTATTGATTTATAAATTCATTGAAATCTCTCAAATTCCTAATTGAATACATACTCCCACGTATAATGCGAAGTGAGGCCTCATAAGCCCAAAAGTGAGTTGTACTGGATTCAGTTAGTGGTCCAGTAACAAAGACAGTAACGGGCAACAAGAATGGGCTTCTAGCATTGCACAAAACCTGCAATTGCCCAAGCTTCCAAAATCCTTGTATGAATCCCTACTAACCCAACTTTGCTATTTACAGCCGGCTTCATTCTGTCAAGGAAAATGCCAGGATGTACGTGCTCAGACTAACTATGATTATCCTACAGGATAATCATATATTGGTGACGGTCAGGATCAGCTTGTATGTGTTTGTGGGACTGTTTCTAGTTTTTCTCTTTTGTCACTTAGAAATCGTTATTGTGTTCGATAGACATATATGATAAACTGTCTGGCCCAATCACTAAATAGCATAACGCTAGCATTGAAGTTTGCATGTACATGAGATTGTGGTACTCAAATGAAAAAAACCCTATTTCTTTTTTTTTAGTATGTCGGACAATCCACCTAGTCCAACTCTTGGACATAAGAATTTCCAACGTAATAGACATAGAAATAGAGATAGGGCTTAGTTTTCCTTTAAATTAAAGATGGTCAAAGAGAGTTGTCCAGAAAAACCTCATCCAAATGAATTGACATCGATTGGAATTGAAGCCAACCTTATTGGATAGGGATTGGGTTAGGTGGGTAAGAAGAATATACTTAATTAGATCTTCCCTAGTTTGAGAAGTCTTGTGCTTCGGTTTTTTTAATTTTGATCCATCTGTCAGCAGCTTTGCATCCATTTGAGTTTCTGTTTATAAAAGCGACTTGTTAATTGTAATATTGTAGATAATTGCTAGATTTATATATTTTGATCTTTGGAAGGTTACAGTTATTAGTCATATAGCACAAAAGAGACAATTTAACTCTTTTGTGAGGGGGGCAGGAAAGCGTTCTTTTTGTGTATATATATTTATTTACTCTTGTCTATTTTTTTTTGTTTCATTTATTTAATCTGATGAAGATACTCTTTTTTTTTTTTTTTTTACAACTATTATATTAGAGTTCTGCCTTGACACGTTTATCTACGTATGCAAATAGACGAGGTACCGTTTTCTAATTTTCGGTATTCACAAATTTTCGAAAGGAATCAACACATACAAAGTAAGCCTCTCTTAATCCCTCAAAAGTGCTTTTTGCCATTTCTTCTGCTTTGGATTCATTTTTGTGTGCGGTGAGGGTTATGGAGGTTCGTAGGCCGGTGGTGGGTGCGAGGGAGGTTCCGGTTGAGCGGTGGAGCCCCCTCCCTCTTCTTTCTTGAAGATTAACGTCGATGCTTACTGGTCAAAGGTGTTTAGATTGGGCTTCGCTGGGGTGATTATCAGGGATGAGGGAGGCCGTTTCTTGGCTGCTGCTAGGTACTCTCTTTTGGCTCCTAATGCCGCAGCTGCTGAGGCTTTGGCTCTGATTCGTGGGTGTGAGCTGGGCATTTCGATGGGTGTGAGCTCTGCTATGATCGAATCCGATTCTCTTGAAGCGATTTCTTGTCTTCGTGGTTCTCTTGATAATGGCAGTTGAGAGGCTTACCCTTTCTTGGCAAGGGCTCTTAAGTTGAGTGAGTCTTTCCATAACTGTCGCTGGTCTTAGGTTCCAAGATCAGCCAACATGGCGGCGGATGCTCTCACGTCGGCTGGTTTTACGGAGATGTGTGATTTTGTGTGGGTCGATAGGCCCCCATATTCGTTAGTGTATGTCTTATGTAATGATGGTCTTCCATGTCCTCATTAGTGGTGCTTGGGGTGACACTTTTACTTGATTGAAGTGTCTGTTGGTCTAATATCCTTGCACTACTTTTTTCTTGGTTGGTCTTCCTTGGTGTTTGCCCAGGAGTTGGCTTTCTTGTTTCTGTTTGGCTTCTTAGCCTTGGAATGTGAATTCCTAGCTTTCAAAAAAAAAAAAAAAAAAGTAAGCTTAGGAGAGGAGCCTTTCCTAATCAATTCACGTAAAACAAATGAATGCAAAAATAAGAAAAACGAGGAGAATATCAAACAACCGTGGTTAATCAAATGGACAAGGATTGTCTGCCCTCCCACTTCCGGTGCCCTTCTGTGTCCTCTTGTTTGTGTGGTCACGGTTAAGTTACGTCAACATTTTATATTTGTCTTATTATCTCTATAAAAATAATATAAAATGTTGACGTGACTTAATCATAATCATATAAAATAAGAGGGCATGGAAGGATACTGGAAGTGAGAGGACAGACAATCCTTGTCTTATGCAAATTGTTGACCAGCACAGAAGGACCGGGCACCGGTTCTCACGCGGTTTGGGCTGCCACCCTAACTGTGGGACCGACCCAACCGGCAACTGGGTTGGAAGGGGACATCGCGGGACCTCTGATAGTTACCAGACCAGGTATCCCAAATCTCCTCCCATCAGTGAACATATCTACGAATGAAAGGAGTCCAAATTTGGGGCCCACCTCCCGGTACCTACCGTACACAATCATCTCTTTTTATCTGTTTCTCTTCGAATTTTTGTTACGTTGTTCCGCTTGAAAAAACTTTGCAAATTATATCATAAAAACATAAGAATGTATTTCCATAGTTATAGTAGCTCTGTAGATATACCATTCGAGCGATGGTATAAAGAAAATGTTTTTTTCAAAAAGTTCGAGGTTAGAGTTAGAGTTCCAGGCCTTACGTATGAGAGTTCAATTTAAGATGAGAGTTGCCATAAATATGGAATTTACAGATTATTTTATCAAATGTATTTACTGAATTTTCTTCACCAAATTATTACTCGTAACGAGACTCTAAATGATCCTGCAGCATGCATTTACTTGTCTCTCAATCGTTTATACACACACTAATCACAATCTGTTTTGCATCGCTCACACAATTGGTTCGAGCACGTCTCTTTTGCGTCCACGTGACCAATTCTAGCGCTACTCTAATTTGAGACTAAAAGTTAACATTATGGCCAGTGCCCTACAACTCTAGGGCTTTTTTTTCTACTAAAGGACATTGGTACATGTATAGTTCTTTTTGTTGTAATGAAAAATCTGAAACAAGTCGGTGACTAATCTGGTGCCAGCTAGCTGTGGTATCAACTGCCCAACTGCTTCTTGCCAAAAGTTCACCACAAGTACGCCAAAATCCATTAAAAATGCCACGTGGGCGCCTAGGATGCAATCATCACAACGTTCGTGTTCAGATTGCGGGATCTTTATTTCTACTGAGCTTGTCCGCGCGTGGGTCTCAGTTTTCTGCCCAAAAATTTGAAATTACTAAAAAATTGATACTTGTATGGCGGTGGTTTTCGTCACTGTTTATATTTAATTTTAAATAAAAAAAATTTACAATGATTTATGACGGCACAATATATGATGAACGGATGTGATTTGAGGATTCTCGATATCCTCACAAAGAGGACCGACAAGGATCCTTACTCCTGTTTTACAAGATATTATCTAAAACTTTAATAGATGTTCACTATCTACACATCTATTTGTACCTTCACACGTTTTTTTTTTGTTAATTGTGATCATTGGATCTTCTTTAGATACTTGGCAAACATTCGATTGACTTATGACCTGGGCTATTTTGAGTTGCAAAGTCCTCCTCCTGGTTGTATTCCTTTTTTGTTTGAAGACTCTTTTGGGTATGCTCAACCCAAAGACTAGAGCATCAAGTAGTTGATTGATGGTTGTGACGACGCCACTGGTTGCATCATCAGTATGAAGTAACTGTTATTTGGTTCTTCTCGATAGATTAAGCTACTTGCTATAGTTAGGGTATTGAACAACGGGTGGCAACTTGCCCAATAAGAAAAGTAAGCCCGAGTGAAAGTTCGTTCGATTCGACGGTCGAAAATTGAAATGAGTGTGTGAGTAGTAAAAATGAGTGTGTAAGAAGCACAAACCTACAAAAATTGCTCCTTTTTTCGATAAAAAATTATTTAACCTGGAACAAATTAAACAACCAAAAGATATTTGTATGTTTGCTACTATGGTCTCATGCTGATTGTGGGTTATTGAAGATGTAGCAGAAGGCTGAGGCCGTACTCAATATGAACACTTTAAATTGATGTATTATAGCGTATGAAGAGTAGAAACACTATAACTTTATCATCTAATCAGTCTGAAACATTATGACGGTATTTGGTGTTTATAATTAAATTGGATATGATAACTTAATAAATCCAATGTACGTTGAACATAAACCTAAATGCATTGCATCATAATCAAGTTCAATTATATCAGTATTGTAGAGTTGAAAATGTTAAATTTACTTTAAATTCGACCGATAGAAGTATACATTCATTTCTTCATTCTTGTATATTGAACTTAAAAGAATGATTAAATATCATAAACACCAAACAAATTCTACATAATTCGTTTCTTTAGATTATATATCGAATCGAATCGATCGATAATCACTTTCCACATTTTGCACTAAACGACAAAACAATGAAAACTTTGGGGTGTAAAGTGAGGGACGGGTAACCCTCGACGAAGATGAGCAGAGCTTTATTGGACGAGAGCCTCAGAAGTCAAAGAGGGGGTTCAACTGAAATCACGTGAGATTCTCACAGCCTGGGAGTGGGACCTTCCTACGTCTAAGACGTTAAAGTCATTCCTTTTTATCGGGGACGCCGTTAATTTCCACATTTCAGTGACTCTATAGGCAAAAGGGGCTGACTGACGGGGGCTTTTTCCCGAACCAAGATTGATTCCTCTCTTACTTTTCATTTCTTTTCATATTCTCTTACTTTTTTAGCCATTGATTTCATACCGTGTTAATAATGCTCCAGATTCTATCACCTCATCTATAACACTAAAACGACTTTAAAGCTCAAATTTCCTAACTTTTTCTGCTGCCTTTCCGCCCTCTCTTAGAGCAACTTCAGCCTTCTACTTTGCTCGGAGGACGGGCTGCAGGAAGGGGCCCGAGGGCCGGTTGATTCTTCTCCAGCCATGGAGGGCCCGAGTGAGGGTGAGAGCCCGAGCACAAGGGGGGTGGAGAGTTGACAGGCCTGCAGCCCGAGGGCCAAGGCATTTTTTTATTGTTTTTTGTGTCAGCCCGAGGCCCTACAACCCCATTTCCCTGTTTTTTTATATTTTATATTATTTAAACAAACAAAAAAAACTACTATTTTATTACCTATTGCTAGGGGAGAGGGCTCCAAGGGTGGAGATGCAAAAGGTAATTACTGTTCATTAATGGTAGTTACTATTCATTAAAGGCAGTTACTGTTCAATATGCTAAATTCAATAGTGGATTGCCAGGGGGAGGGCTTCAAAGGTGGAGTTGCTCTTATCTGCCCTTTAAGCTGCCCTTGTTTCTGAAATGCATTTTACATAAGCCTGGACTGGAGTAGTAATACATGCTTCCAATACAAGCAGAACATTTTTGCATATTCAAAATTAATAAGCATGGACTGCAGCACAAGAATATTCAGATTCAAAATTATACACAAAATATTTGTTTCGCATAAACCAACGAGATCCAAACCTATCTAACTAAACATCTTTTGTATACTCTGCAATCTCTATGCATGGCATAGCTGCTTCTGCAACAACTTTTGTATACTTTAAAATATAATCATCAGAATCAATCATTTTCCATCCTATCTGCAATAGAGAAAAAAAATCATCATCTCAAATTTTGTTTCTTTACGGAGGAGGATGTGGGCTTTATTTAACTAATACTAAATCTTTTGTATACTTTAAAATTGTTCTCAATTACTTTATAAAAACAAATAATGGGACAAGTTCAATCAAAGAGGACCCCAACACGTTATTAAAAAGAAAATACAAATCCTATAGCATAAACAAGCAAAAAAAGAAAAAACAAAACCTGAGAAGATCCAATGAAGATGCATTGGTGTAAAATGGCATAAGGATAGAGTTGCAAAAGTTTAGATGATGAACTTTGTTGTGATTGTGACCTAGAAATCGAATCGGTGGGAGGTGAAGTTCAGAAAAATTGGAAGAGCGGGAAGGCAGATAGGAGGGAGGGGAGAGGCAGTAGAAAAAGTTAGGAAAATTGGGTTGAAAGATGCTTTAGTGCTGTTGGTGAGGTGAAAAAAATTTGAAGTATTAAATTAACTCGACATGAAATCAATATCTGAAAAAAATAGAAGGGGATGGAAGGGAAGACAATCTTGGTCCCTTTTTCGCTAGAGATTTTTCAATATGATCGGTACACAAGATGGTACACCACGTGTCATTATACAAATGGTGGAATATGTGTGCTAAAAAGTTAATAACTTAAAAAATAAAATTTCTCATAACTTCTATTAAAACACGTGATGTACCACTTATGTTCTTGTAACTACTAAATTTTTTTTTTTTTCACAGCTGTTAAATTGGTTGTAGACGAGAGAGAGAGAGAGAGAGAGAGAGAGAGAGAGAGAGAGAGAGAGTCTGGGGCTAAAAAGTGGTCAAAAAAGTTTGTTGTGGCCCATTTGCGGTTTTGAAACGTTGATTTGTGATTAACAGCTCTGAGTTTCCTGTCATGTGTTAAACGCTCCCTAATCTATAAAGTAGTCACGCTTCTTGTTCTTGAGACTTGTCCCATGTACGAGAATGATTTTACTACTTTTTATTTTCAACTTTACGCAGGCCGAGGACGAGATGGTCTGGTCCTCCTCAGGCATCTTCTAGTGATTATTTTGTCTATTTAATTGGAGATGATTTAAGTTAAATCTCTTATACGATAATTGTTAAATTGAAAAAAATATTATCAAATTTAATAGCTACCCCTGAGTTAAAATGTTAGTAAGTGTTTTATCAAATTATCAAATGATTTACGTCTTGTATAAATTTAACTGATAACATCAAATGACTGTGCAACGCTTTCAAAAAATTGTCACAAGGGAGAAAACATGACAGCTCACCTTGTCTCAATATATCGTGGGAAGCTCAAAATAGTAAAATAAACAAAACCAGAGGCCACAGACAAGGAAGGAAATATCCGTAAAAGAAAATTGAGGATACAAACAAGGGGTACGCATCTACGCACTCGGTTCAAGTTAGCACCCCACCCACTTTACAAAAGCCAATTTCGTGGGAAGTACCCCTTCCCCTCTCGATACCTTCCCATAAAAGTACTCAGAAGTGCACGCACCTCTTCCCCTAAAAATATAATCCCCAAACACACAACCTATCTCTCATTCATTTCAGTCCTCCCCTCTCTCCCCCTCTCAGGAATTTTCACAAACATCTCTCGGGCACTCACTCCTCACTCTCCTCGAACAAACACCAACACTGTATTTCCATGGAAGCATTGAATATTTGCTCGTCTTCTGCTTCGTCTTCCGACACGTCCTCGTCGGAGTCTTCTCTGACGAGAAATCCCAATAAGCCCGAACGAATCAAGGGCCCGTGGAGCGCTGAGGAGGACCGGGTCTTGACCCGGCTTGTCGAGCGCTACGGGCCTAGAAACTGGTCATTGATAAGCCGGTATATAAAGGGACGGTCCGGGAAGTCTTGCAGGCTAAGGTGGTGCAACCAGCTGAGCCCGAGCGTCCAGCATCGATCCTTTTCGCAGGCCGAGGACGAGACCATCTTGGCCGCACAGGCCCGGTTCGGAAACAGATGGGCCACCATTGCGCGCCTGCTTCCGGGTCGGACCGACAACGCGGTGAAAAATCACTGGAACTCGACGTTGAAGCGGAGGGTGAGGGGAGATCAACTAACGGAGGGTGGCAGTTTTCTTGGAGGCGGCGGCAATGTGGGTAGCAATGAGGGGATGAGCACGAATTCGGTTTCCGGATCTTTGGTTAATGGGTCGATGGAGTTTGACCCGTTGACGGAGTTGACTTTGGCACCGCCGGGGATTGGTAGCGGAAGCGGCGGGGCGATGGTGGCAGAGCAGCGGAGGAATAATGAGAGTGTGCCGGCGGGGTTTTGGGACGCGATGAGGGATGTTATCGCTAGGGAGGTTAGAGATTACGTGGCGACAACATTTTCAGAGCCTTCGGGGCTTCTTTGATAAAATTAATGATGTTTTGATTTAATTTCGGATTATGTTTTTGTTAATATGTTGGCTTCGATTAATTCTCAGAGGCTAAAAAATGTAAGATTGGTCGAATGAATATAAGCTAAAAATAATTAAAAATTTTAATTCTTGATTAAAAAAAAAGGTAAGGCTGGTGTTCCAGCCTGTCATCAACGAACAAGTGGAAATGAATAGAAAAGACAAGAAAGTCGAGATGTTAAGTGCCACAATCAATTAGTTCGATGTAGATGGAACTTTAACTCAGTAACCGAAATAATATTGCATATGCACTCATACGTAATTTGAAAATTCAAAATTATTATTATTTTTTGTGTAAAAGTACGATATTTATTAATAGAAAATTAAATTATCACGAGACCAACTAGTTTTGGGATTTAGAAAATTTTAGATGCTTGATGGACATTTTGTTGTAATTTGATTTTTATTTTAAGAAGTCGGAAACTTTGTTGATCAAATTGTTCAGGCAAATTTGCATGTCATACATGTTCATACGCCAATTATTTTTTTTGAAATTTGAGATTGTCTGTCATAAAAACACGTACGACTTAAAAATATCATGTGCACGGTTGAATTAACCATGTCGTTTATGTTGGTGTGGCAGATTTTCCGTAACTAATTTAGCATAATATAATATAACACTTTTGGTAGCTAATGAAATTCCAGCTGGTGAGAGAATATAATTAGTAGTATATAGCATGTTGTGTACATCCATTGAAACACTGAACAACATTTGGGATAAGAATGTATTATTTAATTTATTATCGAATACCAACAAACGCTAACGACTTAATTTATTTGACCTAAATAAGATTAATAAACTGGTCAACGCTAGTGTTGACCAACTTCTGAGTACTTCAATATTGATGGAAAATTAATTAACTTACACATCATGGAATAATAAGCACATTATTTGTTACACCTAATTAAGAAAGAAATTGGGTAAGATATTTACATAAATTTGTGTCCTAATTAAGAAAGAAATTGGGTAAGATATTTACATAAATTTGTGTCCATTATCTTCAATCATACATGAGTGGGGAAAATTGGTTAAATCAGTTATCTAATTAGGCAAGCATTTCAAGTTAGCAAGAAAACCTTAGGTAAACTAGGTTTTTCGGACAACGAGTATAAAGTCTCGCCTCCTACTCTGGACACACCCCTGGGAAGCCCTAAAGCTAGTGTACCCTCGAAAGGAAAGAAGGCCAAAATTTGAAAAAAAAAAAATGTTATTTTTGCTATCTATTCGTACTATATCTTTAATAGAGATGAAATCCACATGTATGGATAGGTCCTACCTCTATTTGAGAGATGATACAAATTGACAGTAAGCGTAACACTGCACAATTTTGAATGGCCAAGATCAGCCCCACAACTTGTCAACCGTTAAATCAATACAAATGACTTGACAGCTAAAGGTTTTCTTCAAGAGTTTAGGTATTTACGATTTAGAATCAAGCGGAATATGTTTCATGTTTCCGAATAAAAACAGATTCAAAGTCTTTGAAAACAATTTAAAGTTAAACCCACCACCGACTGGCAATATATATTTGAAAACTAAGTACGCGAGGACTTTTTCACCATCTTTTCTTCCACTGGTGGAAAAGCTAACAAAGCATACGTCTGATCGAATAGCGGCACCTTGTTTTGGCGCGGTTGGAAGCAAACTGTCACTTTGTGTTCCCCACTTCTGCTTCTAGAGAAGCACTTTTGGATTTGTGTGATCGATTCATGCACGCATGGTCTGCCTGTTTTAACTGCTCATGCCGAACATCGTAGAAAAGTTTTTATGGATGTGATGTGAGTCATGGAAGTAATAGACATTATTTGTCATAGTTTCTGGACCGGTAAAGGCCCATAGGCCATGGCCAATTTTTTTTGTAGGAGACAGATATTCTTGGATAGAAACTACAGTGTAAGTAGCCCGTCACAAATCATACGAGAGAGAGTGTCGGTTGCAGTTACTGCTATAAATTGGTTCTAGTTCGATTTAGTACCAGGTATGGCTTGTCATTGGCTCGTTGAAATTTAACTCGTGATAGAAACAAACCAAATCTAGTTTGGCTCAGCAAGTCAGGCTTGAACATTAGTATATTTGAGTAGGAACTATATTGTATGAGGTAACGGATCACAATGCAAACGACATGCAAGCCGGATACTAGGTGCTAAATCCCTACATAAGGCTTTCATGTTTTAGTACAAATTTAACTTGTATGAATATGAATTAACCATTCAGATAAGAATTATGATAAATGGTTCAGATTAATCATTCAGATAAAAATCAACCTGATCAATGGTTGAGATTTATAATCTGACAACATAAACATTTGAAATATTTAGAGAGTCAAGTAAGATAATATTTTTCTTATTCATGAGTTGAACATTTTTATTAATATAAAATAAATTTCAAACTGACAAAATCATCTTTATTGTGTATATGACTGTATGAAAATCAAGAAACGAGTACAAATTATTCAGACACGATTCCCCCTACAAGTATCATGGGGAAATTATTATTTGGCTCGAAACCCTGCAGAATAATTGAAGTACATAATCAATCTGGTGTGCGTATGTGTGTATTTTTGTACACCGTCTCTTCTTCCCGGACCTTTTTATTTGTGTGTTTTCAAACTCTGCGATTAATTATTCCAACGTGGCAGTGGGATGGCAAACAGCTTCATCAGCCCATCCTTGCAGTTCTTGCCATCTTTTTCACCACTGGCAAAGTAATAAGGACTCCACCGAGTTAGCTCCACCTTGAAGCCGTCGCCAACTCCCTGCATCTGACTCGCCAGCAGCTTGGCGTTGCTAAAGTCGCAAGTTATGTAGCTCCATAGGTTCGGCAGTTGGTATACGCTGTAGCCGGAGTTCGCCTCACTCGGTGGATAGTACTTGAACACTGCAAAAGTTAAACCAAGAACTTATACACACACATAAATAGTTGACGCATGCATGCATGGAATAATCGATCTACGGAATAATGGACATCTGTATGTCCGTTTTTTATTAAAGAACTAACTGCCGATGTTGCCATTGATAATGCGTTGATATAGTTGTCACATACACATGTTATCGTACAATATAAAAGCATGTTTATTGAAATTCAAGAAGGGATGTCATGCACAGAGAATTTTGATGTTAAATGATACTAACCTAGTTGGTCATTTATGTAAAAGGGGCTGTTTTGGAGCGCCCAGTCAGTGTAGTTGTAGCCGAAACGCCAGCCTTCAGACCCTCCAACAACCACGGTTCTGGCCTCAGTCACTGCCAAGAGAGAGGCAGCAGCTAGGAGGAGGATGAACACTTGCGCATTAGAACTCAAAGCCATTGCCCCTCTAGTAATGTCCTTAAAAAAATATAGAAACTTGATTGTGTGAGAAGGTGATGAGAAAACGTGAGAGGGTTATGGGGTTTATATAGGAAATCGAAAGTGATTAGATTTGCCTCTGTCTCTTTGGTTTCAACATTTTTCACATTTTCAGATTCCAGAAGCTGAACTTCAAAACCCTATTTTCTCATTTGGTAATTACTGAATTGCCAACTTTCAGATTACATCATAACTCTACTCCTTAGTTGATTATGTGACAGCATGACCAGAAGACTGCAGGGGTAAAAGAGTAAAATTGATTGGTTGACAAGTGGTTCTGGTCATCGTAAATTTGGTAATTATCCATTAAGTACAAAAATCTCATGCAATGGCTATGATTAGTGGCGCATTAACAGTTTAAGAGGTCAGCTAAGGCAACGGAGGGTAGGTGTGGGTTCGTTTACAGACGAGGATTAAACGGTCAAACAACGGCATGTGGAAACTTGGGAATTTTTACAATCTTAATATGATCAAGGTGTCTGTTTGGTTAATGAGAAAATTTGGATGAAGGGAAGGAAGAATAACTTTTGAACATTTCTCTGGAAGATGTTTACTATCCTGCACATATGTGCTGCGCGCATGCCCCAATTAGCAAAAACCTCAGCCCTCCATTTTTATAGATTAAAAACCGGTGGATGTGATGAGTTGATACGCACAATACGCAGCCATGTGCAGGGGGCAATGCACAGGGTAGAAAAGCTGTTCTCTGGAAACCCTATGATGAATGACAATTGGGCTTGCTAAAAAGTGCCCCCTTTTCTGGGTCTGAACAGTTTTCTTAAAAGCCTACCTGTGATTAACGTATTCTTACCGGATCCGGCTTCTTCGTCCTCCCACTTTTCATACGCTCCTATATTGTGCGGTCAAGGTTAAGCCACGTCAATATTTTATATTGATTTTTTTTATAAAGATAATAAGACAAAAAACAATGGTAATATAAAATGTTGACATGGCTTAACCGTGACCGCACAAATAAGAAGATATGAGAGTGTACAGAAAGTAGGAGAGCAGAGAAGCTAGGTCCATTCTTACCCTACAAATATACAAATAGCGGAATTGTTTATTGCGGATTTGCTCCACCCTATGCACATTACTTCAATCCTCTTCCTTGCGGTTTAGATTAGTTTAAAGTAAAATATTGACCGTGGAAACGGAAACAGTAATTTCTTTGAAGATAAGTGGCAAATCCTGTAGAACTGGTTCAGCTTACTGTTTTAACGTACTTTTGCCTGCAGCTCAATTGAAAGCAAAAATCAAATTTACCACAACTTCAAAATCTGGAGATTCGACATTACGCATCTGGAAGTTGTAAACTACCACCAGCTAAGGGCATTAAAGCAAGTGTGGACCCCAAGTATTCTTGGATGAGTTGTGTGCTTGCAGAATCAACAAAATTATTCCCTTTTCTGGGTTGAAAGCGATGCGTTCTGGGGCCTTGTTAAGCTTGTTATAGCATGTGGATTTTTGAATTTTTAGCCATTTTCCACCTATTCCCTCAATTCAGTCACCAATTTCTACCAGCTGCTCAAGTTATTGTGCTCGGTGGACCACATTGACTACTTTTCCTTTGCAATTACTTTTTCTGTTGAATGGTCTGATGTGATCGTAAAGATCATGTGGCTCCGGTGATCGATCAAATGAAAAATATGGCAATTGCTTAAGGAAAAAACTTGAATCGATACGTTACAGACAAATCACAGTTTGATACGTTGTAGTATTCGTTGCAAAAATGCTTGAATCTTGATTGGTAATGTATATCTTAACTCCTTTTTCTTTTCAACTAGAACTAAGTTAGAGAGGCAATTAAAAAATTCAAAGAAGTCTCCCAAATTCATTTCATCCTTCCAAAATCATTGACACCAACATCACAGAATGTATGGCTTCCCTGCTCTAATAACGTACCCAGCAACAGAGATCAGATGAAGATCGAAAATAAAGAATAAAAAAAAAAATAGGAAACTTGTGACTTGTTGGGTAGGTACCAATACTAAATCCAAAACCCAATAACCAGAAATCAAACATTTGCAGTTTGTGGAGGTTGAAGCTCGGATTCTTGCTGGGTTTGTGCTGGGCTTGCAGTTGCAGATGAAGTAGCAGACACATTAGGCCTTGGAATCTGAGTGTTGATTCTTCCATCAATGCAGGATGCACATTTCGCTTCTGCCCAGCTCCCCAAATCGTAATGTCCGTACCCGAAAATACTCCTTCCAGAGCAGACCCTTCCAATCACAGCAGCAACCAGACCCAAAAGTAGCACCACAATAAGAACACCAACAACTGCTCCAATGGAGCCATGGGGTGAGTGAAAGGTGTTGGTGTTTTGCTGCAGCACAAAGTCTGGTGGAGATTGCTGGGTCTGATCAAATGGCCTTGACATTTTTTGGGCTGACCCAGAAGAGGGAAATGCTGGGTTTTCTGCTTCTTGTGCCTTGAAATGCAGTCCAAATAATGCAAAAGTTGGAAGCTTTTTTGTGAGTTGCTCAAGAAATCAGAATAGGGTTTAGGGTTTAGGGTTTTTGTGGCCTATTGTGAGCAGTGCATGATTTGCTTTTTGGAACTGGATTCTTGGAGGGTGGATTTATTCACATGTTTGGAAGAAAAGGCCAGAACTAGAGTTTATTCTCATCAATTGATTTTTTATTTTACGGGTTTTACCCCTTTTGGGAGAAGTAAATTTTCGGTAAGGTAGTACGAATAGAACAATTTTCGTATCTGGTGAAAGGATAAGGATTGTCTGCCCTTCCCCTTCTGGTGTTCTTGTGTTTATGTGGCTACGGTTAAGCCACGTCAACATTTTATATTATTTTTTTATAGAGATAATAAGACAAAAATGAATAGTAATATAAAATGTTGACGTGGCTTAATCGTGGCCACACAAAACAAAAGGGCACCAGAAGTAGGAGAGCAGACAATCCTTGTCCTAATGAAATCAATGTAACACTAATACCGAAGATTATATATTTATGAGATTCTCATAGATGACGTGGTCTAAATGCCCTACGCAAGTTCTTTAGAGATGATGGAAAGTTCAATGCGATTGTCTTACAATGACAATTTAACATCAAATAAAATCACAATCGTTATTTTTTTTTACAACGATATTTATACTAATGGGATGGTAGGATAGGTTAGTTGCCAAATCATAATTTCCAAAATTTAAACTTAAAACCCTTTACTTATAAGTAAAAAAAAATTTCGCTAGCTCGTTGTCCAGTCATTCACTAAGTTATATTTTAAAGGGTGTGATATCCACACACCTTATTTTACTTCTTACACACCTTTTTAATTTTCAACATTCGGATCGGATGAATTGAAGAAGATCAACGGACATAAATTATCAAGAAGTGTATGAAAAGTAAAATGAGATGTGTGAATACCACATCGTTATTTGAATCAGCGGAACCCAGGGGCGAGTAAAGGACGAAAGCAAAGTAAAAAGTCACTGGAACAGTTGGAATCTTGGAAGTGTATAATCACTTTCCAAGAGAAGCACTTTTTCGAAAAAACTTCATCGAGCTTTGTCAGTTCCCTTTATGTCACCGTGTGAAGAAATCGTGCTAACAGATACCAGAGCCAATTCTCTGAGTCACACATGATTCATGAACATGTAATATGGGATGGGGATTGAGCCTGACAAATACCAGCGCCAATTCGAAGGAAATATAAGAAAAGAGGATGGGCTTGTAATTGGGCTTTCTTTGGGCTTAGGCCATTTGTGAGAATAAAAAGTTTACCCGGCAACAAGCTACTTCATCAATTTAAAGTTCGAATTTCTGTTATTTTGGTTTAAATAAATCCAATGTGGAATATCGCTGGTTAATAAACAGAACAATTGTTAGAGAATCTCCAATCTACACATCTCCATAAAAAATTATCTTAATAAAATTGAACCATGCATATCAACAAATATCTTAAAAAGTTAATACAAGATAAACTTCAACAATATTATATCTTATGAGAAATGTTAAAGAGACTATTTCAAAGTGATATTCTCTGTCATTTTACAATTTAACGTCAATTTTTATATCAACATCATAAACCGTTGTAACAAAAATGTAAGATAACAGAAATCATATTCCTAAAAAAATGTCTGGTTTGAAAAAAAAAAAAAGAATGTCGTGGAGCATTTCTCATCTTAATCCTTGGTTTCTCAGTTAAGCCGCCTTCTAGATCCCATGTGCAAGTGTATGGATAAGATCGCAAGCCCTCAGATTTTTGCGGTGCTGACGTAAGCATGGTGACGCCACGGCCTAATCCCTAAATGATTGAACGAATCACATCACATTGTCCAAATAACCAGTTTAAAACTGTTTTTTTATTTTTTATACATGGATTAAGTTACCCTAATTTCAAGTAATTAGCTTGATCAAAACTTTAGTTGTACACCATACTAAGTGAGTATCGTATTTACCATGTACAATGGTTTATCAAAATTTCTTACTTGCAAATTTAAAAAGAAAAAAAAATACCGTTAAATCGTAGTAAAATTTTGATGGGACAGATGAGTAATACACAGTAAGACTGGGGGTGCCGACTTCATAATATTTAACCAAAATGATCACAACAGGACAAGAAATGGATAAATAATGTTGGCATTATAAACAGCTGGCGCCGGGGCAATGTGCGGTTTTGTGGCATAAATAATTAGAGTGGGATAAATAGCACCTTACAAAAATTCTTGTGCTGTGTTTGTCGGTTCATCTCCCACTGGGACTGGCTAATTTAGTCCAAGGCCAAGCAGAAAGAGTGAAGATGAGCGATCCCAACGTCGGAGGTAGACCCGGCCAGGCCCCGGCAAACGGCGGTGGGGGTAGAGCACCAGTGCCACCTAGAGGATCCATAATCAAGAAGATTGTGGCTGACTTGGTTAGTCGCCCGTAACCATTTGATCTACATACTCGTCGCCATAAAGTTAAGTACGATGTGTGCCGATATGTTTGTATGTATATTTTTATGAAGCCTAACTAGTTGTGAAATAACAACGGGAAATCCCCCATTTGGTGTTGGGGGGGGGGGGGGGGGGGGAAGTGTAATTGGGGTTGGAAGTTGTATGGATCTATTTGCCAAATCTTGTTTGGTGTTAATGTTAGTATTGTTGATGATGAGTTGTTTCTTATGGGAATTCTGACTCCATCATCAATTGCAACCTGCAAATGGAGTTTGTTCTTTTGGTAAATTAAGTCGGTTAATTGCTTGCTAATGACAATTTTCTTGACTGTGTTCAATTATTTGCGAATTTTATTCAATTGTAAATTTGGTTCAATTATTTGCGAATTTTATTCAATTGTAAATTTGAATCGTTGATTATTAGGTGACGATGGTGTGATTTACGAGAAATTGAATAAAATTTTCAAACTCGAGCTGTTTGGCTTGGAATTGTATTGCGTCAAATACGACCTGAAGAAACTCCAACGAGCCAAATACGACCTGAAGAAAATATAACTTGGAATTGTATTGAAATTATTAAAATTATATATTACAATATTTCATATTATAATATATAACCCTAATTGAAGTAACAATGAAGAAATAGAGGAGCTGCCTACATAGTGGGCCTCGAATGTACCTAAAAGTACAAATAGGCTTGGGTAAAGCTTAAACCGGGTTTAAGTGGGCCGCCCAATTCGACGGACTATTTTGCCATGCCCAAAGTGTAACAAGAAGTCAATTGGATGCCATATAGATGGGTAACATTTTTATTTAACATTTTCGTTATTTTCTTAGTTCTTTTTCTTATCCTCTAATGTTGCATCCAAAACTATTTATTTTCTATACTATCTTTAACAATCAAGTTTGACAAAAATCGTTTAGTTATCTAATAATTATTCAATAAAGAAACAAACAATGTTATTTAGTTAAACATTCAGTTCTCAAAACATTCATCGAACAATTAAACTAATTCTGATTTGGTTGAATTTTGTACAGGGTTGACATTTAAAGGATAAACTAGAAAATAGACAATTTCAATCATCGTGCAATATTCGCACAGTAAAAAAAAAATCTTACAAAAAAGTTGGCTGCAATGTGTATTCTAGAAGCTGAAGAGGCATGTGATGAAATCATGAAAGTAGCCACCACCGTTTGATATCATCCCTGTCAACCTAGCCGTTGCTCAACGGAATTCATACCCGGCAACAAAATTCAAATATCTGAAAAGCAAAAGAAAAAAAGCAAAAGCCACATTCACACACCCACTTTTTCCATCACTTCCCACAAATTAAATAAAAAAAGCTAGTACCAACTATATAAATTGTGTAACCACTTACCATCATGTTCCTGCATTAATTCAAAATCCAGCAAATGGGTTCCTGCATTAGCAAATGCACACCCAAAAAACACTTCCTACAACAATTCAACAATGTCCAAGACAAGTTGATAATTTCACAGCCTCCTCCTAGGATCACCATCCCTCCAATTTCTGCTTCCAACAAAATCTCACCTTGTCCTCAATCCCCTTCCAACTCCACTTCCTCTGCCTCCTCCTTCCCTTGCACCACAAGCACTTCCTACACAAGCGCTTCCTCCTTGAGCTCAGCCTTGTCAAGTGCTTCTTCGGCCTCCAGCTCGAAAATTGATCGTTCTTTCTCCAACGAGTTCTTGTGGTCGTGTTACAAGGAGAACCCGCATGTCATTCGCATTAACTCGATCAAAGATGCAAGCTTTTCGAGATTTTCCCCATCGGCATTGCCACAAAAGCCGGTTTCTGCCACTGTAGTGAACAAGAAGCCGCTGCCGAACCTTAAAAGGGCAAATGTGTCAGTTACACCACAGAAGAGAGTGAGATCAAGCTCACCAAATTCTCTAGGAAGGCAAAAGAGCTTCCGAAAAGAGCCAGAGAGGCCTATGATCTCTGCATATTCACATCCAAGTAGAACTTTGAGGTCACCCTCCCCAAGTAGAAGGTTCAACATGCCAATCCCACCAAAAGAATTAAATCATTTGAGACCTAACAGTGCATTGAATGTTAGGCCTGCAGGTTCATATTGTTGCGCGACGGACCAGCGTGAGGCCGGTACTAAATCCACATCCAAGACTTGTATCGAGCCACACAACCCCTACGCGAATTACAATAATTCGAGCCGGCGACTTCGGCCTTGTTTGAACAGCAGAGAAACAGAGATGAGAATTCACAGGATCACCTCTAAAATCGATGAGGTTGCAGCTGGAGAAGCACTGGCTGACTATATGGACTCTCTTCCTGCTGAGGACATTGATAACCCTTTAATTTCTCTTGATTGTTTTATTTTCTTGTAGATTAATATTTTGTGTGTGTGTGCGTGTGTGTGTGTGTGTGTGGTCATGCGTATATTTGAAAGGTTGTGAATTTATTCATTTTATGGTTTGGCAATGTGGAAATGATCTACTGGATCATCCAACTAAGTAATTCTCTTCTGTATATTTATTTGGTTTGGGTTTTTATTTAATTTTATTAGTAGCTTTAAAAAAAAAATTGTATCCTTATTTAAACATTTGTTTTAAAGGTAATACGAGGAATATAATTGATGCATTTTTTTTGGAGAAAATCAAACGAGTTCACTCTTTTTCAGTGCAACAATATATTTACATTAAGTGTTAACCATAGTGCAGTAATGCTCAATATTGCACATAGAAGATTAGAAAGACTTATGAAGAAGAAGATCGAAGAAGGAGAGAGAGAGAGAGAGAGAGAGAGAGAGAGAGAGAGAGAGAGAGAGAGAGAGAGAGAGAGAGAGAGAGAGAGAGAGAGAGAGTTTTAAAGAGAGAAATAAATCTTTGCATATATTTTCCTTAATGAATCTGATCAATACAATCACAATATATCTTGTGTAAGATTTTGTTTCATTTTATCTTTATCTTCTAAATCCATACAACTTGGACTAACTAACTAACCAACTCTTGTAATCTAGCCTTTCAAACATTGACAGATGTCATAATCCTAATGACTTTGAGTATATACTCTAACATCCCCCCTCAAGCTCAGGTTTGGATGAACTAAGCATGAGGTTGCTGCAATGTGTGTTGAAGAAAGGTGCACTGAGTCCTTTAGTTAAGATGTCTACAAATTGATCTGAAGAAGAAACAAATTGTACCAGTAGTTTCTTGCTTGCAACCCTTTCTCGCACAAAGTGAACATCAACTTCAATGTGTTTAGTTCGCTGATGATTTACTGGATTAAAAGAGAATGCTATAGCAGACATATTATCACAAAACAATACTGGAAGATTAGAAATTTTGATTTGCAAGAATGTAAGCAACTGTTGAATCCACTCTAATTCAGCAGATGTTGAAGACAAAGCTCTATATTCAGCTTTAGTGGATGAACGAAAGACTGTTTGCTGCTTCTTTGAAGACTAAGAGATGGGATTGTTGCCAAGAAAAACAACCAAACCTGTAATTGAGCGGCTATCATTGGGATCCCCCACCCAGTCAACATCACTAAAGGCTTTGAGAAACAACTATCCTTGACTATAAGTAATCCCTTTAGATAAAAACCCTTTAAGATACCTCAAAATACGTTTAACTGCAGTGAAATTAGATATCATTGGAGCTTGCATAAACTGACTAGCCTAATGCACAAAGAATGCGATATCAAGTCTAGTGAACACAAGGCATTGCAAAGCTCCAACCACACTTCGATAAAGGGCAGAATTATTAAAAGGCTGGCCATCATTTTTAAGAAGTCTACTATAAGGCAAACATGGTGTGGCTGCAGGTTTGGCATCTATCATGTCTATCTTCTTTAACAAGTCAACAATATACTTTTCTTGAGACAAAAACAACCTCTGAGTTGTTCTGGAAATTTGAATACCTAAGAAGAAATGTAAAGGACCAAGATCCTTAATATCAAACTCTTTGGTTAAATCTGCAACAACTTGTTGAATAGCAGAAGATGCACTCCCAGTAATTATAATATCGTCCACATATAAGAAAAGAACCATAATGGAACCAACAACATGTTTAACAAATAATGAAGAATCGGAATGAGTGTTTTTGAAACACTACAGTGGTAAAAATTGAGTAAACCTATCATTCCAAGCCCTTGGTGATTGTTTAAGTCCATATAAAGACTTATTCAATTTGCAAACCAGGTAGGGATACTTAGAATCCTCAAGACTTTGAGGTTGAGACATATAAACCTCCTCATTTAAAATGCCATGAAGAAAGGCATTCCTCACATCTAGTTGTCTCAATGGCCAGTTATAGTGAGCAGCAAGAGCAAGTATGAGTCTCACAGTTATTGTTTTAACAACCAGACTAAATGTCTCACCATAGTCCAAATCTTCCTCTTGACTAAATCCTTTGGCAACCAAACAAGCCTTATGTCTAGCAATACTCCTATCAACATTTCTCTTGACTTTAAAAATCCATTTACACCCAACTAAATTCTTTGTGAGGTGGAAGATCAACCAAACTCCATGTTTTCTGTGAATAAAGAGCATTAAGCTTCTCATTCATTGCATTAAACCACACGAGAACTTCCAATACAGATTTATATATGGTAGGTTCAGTAATAGTCAAATCAACCACTGTGAAGATGTTGGCAGAAGAAAATAGAACAATTTTCTTAACAATTCCACTCTTGAATTGAGTTTGCATGGGATGTAAATTCAATGGTGGTATGTCATCCATTTGAAGACTTTCAGAGCTATATTCAGGAACCATATGAGCTGGAGAATCTTGGGCAACAATGGACTGATGTGGTGATGATGACTGAGATAATATATATGGTGGAGGATATTATGTTGGGGGAGATTGAGAAGGTAATGGATCAGGTTCATGTATAAAAGAAGGAACTAATGATGGAGAAACTAACACATTTTGCAAGGTAGTTATCACAACAGGGAGTATTTGAGGACTACTATCGGGCTTTAAACATTATGACTGCGAACATTATGACTTAGAACTCAAAGCACTGTAGGGAAAATCAAGTTCATTGAAAATAACATGTCTTGATATATATATTTTCCCAAGATTGAGTTCAAAACATATATAACCTTTATAGTTCGAAGCATATCCCAAAGAGATACATTTTGCAGACTTAGGTTAAAATTTGTTGTTGTTATAGGGTTTTAAAAGTGGAAAGCAAGCACAACCAAACACCCTTAGGTGCTAGATTTCAGGAATAGCAGAGTACAATAGTTCAAAAGGTGATTGATTTTGAAGGATAAAAATGGCATTTGATTGATCAAATAGATGGCTGTTTGGCAAGCAAAAGTCCAAAACTTAAAAGGTAAATGTGCATTCTGTAACAGTGTAATTGCTGTTTAAACTACATGTTTATGCTTTCTCTCAGGCAAACCGTTATGTTCAGGGGTATAGGGACAAGATTTATGATGAGAAATGCATTGTTTAGCAAGAAAAGACTGCATAGGTTTACTAATATATTCACCCTTCATCACTCTATAAAGTCTTAATTCTTGCTGAGAATTGAGTAAAAACAAAGTGGTAGAATGTAACAAACACATAATAAATATAAGATTTATTGATTAAAGGAAAGAGTCAACAAAATTTGGTACATTCATCAACAAAAAGGACATAATATTTGAAACCATCCATATATACACTAGGTGCAGATCCCTACAAATCACTATGCATAACCTCAAAGGGTATTACAGATTTTGCAGAAGCAGAAGAAAAAGGAAGGAAACATGTAGGTGAGATGATGAACCTAATGATAAACTGGGGAATGAAGGAATTGGATACAGTCCATTGTTGCATAGCCTTTTATACAATATTCTCCTTGTGGTTTTGTCCTGAATCCAAAAACAGTAAGCATCGAATATTAACTACAATTGTTGTCAAAACATATTCTATGAACTGACAGCAAATTATGAGACAATTTGGGAATGTAAAGAACATAATTCAATTTGATAGATTGTGAAGATGGCCGAATAAGAGAACTCCCAATATGTGAAACTTGTAAACCTTCCCCATTTGCAGTGTGAACGGTCTCATTATTTGGATATGGAGAGGCCAGAGACAAATTGCTGAGGTCATTTGTCATGTGATTGGTTGCATCGGAATTTGTCAACCAAACTTGTGGGGAAACGAAATTGGGCATGGTAGGAGCATATGAAGTAGAGACATTCATGTTAGGGGTGGTTCGGTATGGGATACCTAACCAAAACTAGTACCCCGAATCTCAAACTGAAATTTTTCGGGACGAGAATTTGAAGACCAATCTCAAACCAAATTTTCGGGATTTCGGGACAAATCGGGAATCCTAAATTAAAATATGAAATTATGAATTATTCTTCAAATATATAATTCAAGAACACATTCATGAATTATGAATGTCATTTCATTCACACTACCATTTAATTGAACACTGGCATGCCTGACTGCTTTTATCAAAGTCAAAATTCAAATTAATTAAAACCCTTTTGGCAATCTGTTGACAGACAAAAGAATCAAGCCTTATAAAATCCTCAACCATGACAGCAGCAATAATAAAATCCAAATGAAAATCAAACAGAACATGAAAAATATGCAAGGTGCAGGGCATTCCTGATTGCAGAGCATGAATTAGAAACTACTAGCATCAATTATAAAAGAATAATATATATCATATATATGTATAAATATATATATTTTCGGTTCGGTATGGGATTCCCCAAATATCAAGAAGCCAATCCCGAATCTTGTACCGAAATTTCAGGATCTGTTCGGGATAACATCCCAAAAATTTCGGGAATTTCGGTTTGGGAAATTTACCGAAATTCCTGGTTTGGGATCGGGATTTTTTCGATTCAGTTCAGGATTTTTGGGAATTTTTTCCACCCCTAATTCATATTGGTAGAAGCATATGCATTAGAACTAGTTATATGTGTAGAAGAATTGAGATTTGGTGTACCAGTTGAAGACATCATGTTCATCATAGAGAGCATATTAGGATAGTCCATATGCATCATAGAGGGCATATATGGAGGCTGCATATATCCAGGAAAAGTAGCTTGCATAACAATCATCTGGGATGAATGAGGTCTGTTCTTATTTCTATAAAAACAAGTTTTTGTAATATGGTTACTTCGATCACAGATTTGACAGTTCACGGTAGACTCAGATGAGTTAGTGTTTCTGTAACCACAAGTAGCAACACTATGACCTTGTTGAGAACATAACTGACAGATGATACTGGACGAAGATAGACCATTATGAAGCCGGGAAGGATTACTAAGAATTCCAGGAGTAAAATCATGAACAACAGGTTTATATCTGAAATAACTTTGTCCCTGATTATTATAATATTTGTGGCCCTGAAAATTTCCAGTTTT